CTGCATGGAAAGGGTGCTCAGGCCTTGGCAGGGGCTGCCCAGGGAGCTTTGGAGTGCCCATCCCTGGAGGTGTCCAAGGAAGGGCTGGAGGTGGCACTCAGAGCTCTGGGCTGGGGACAAGGTGGGGATGGGCACAGCTTGGACTCCATGGGCTGGGAGGGCTTTTCCAGCCTCAATGATTCCATGAATCCGAGCAAAGCATGTGGGAAATTCTTACAGGAAAATCAGCCTTGACTCAGACGTTAACCTGTGTGACTGGGGAAGAATGGAGAGTTTTGGAGAACTAAATCCACCTTTCCTGAGCTWAATTTCTGCCACTTCTCTTGTGGGTAGACAAAAATAACCAGCAGCTGATCCTCCAARTATAATTTATTAATCTGACAGAAAAGAGGAATTATCTTTTGATGCAACAGTTTGCAACACAAAATGAATTGTTCCCTGGGAGGGTGGGCAGGCCCTGGCACAGGGTGCCCAGAGAAGCTGTGGCTGCCCCTGGATCCCTGGCAGTGCCCAAGGCCAGGCTGGACATTGGGGCTGGGAGCAGCCTGGGACAGTGGGAGGTGTCCCTGCCGTGGCAGGGGTGGGATGGGATGGGGTTTAAGGTCCCTTCCAACCCCAGCCACTCTGATTCCATGAAATTATATCATGGCCATGATCCTGATGGAGCCAGCATTCCCGCCCTGACACAGCTGGGAGCCCAGCAGGAGGCTGACTGTACAGCTTGAGTTGTCCAAACCACCATTTTTTGGTGATCTCCCAAATCCAGGATCAGCTTGTGCCTCAGTTCTTTCAGAGCTGAGACAGGGCTGAAGGAGCATCCCAAGTGTGCTAAGGAAGGACATTTGTATTTTCCAGCCTTCATTCCAGTTGGGTGCTGCCAAAAAAAGTTTCAGGGAAGTCAGCCAGCCTGAATTTCCTTTTCCTAGAGTTTTTGGAGTTTGAAGCTCTGCTTACCCAGCTGGYCCAAGACACAGAGCAGTGACAACAATTGTCACAGTGCCAGGCAGCAATAAAAGAGACAAGTTTTGTTCCAGAGAGGTTTTGTTGCTGGAGAAACATCTGTCACTGCCCTGGGTGAGCACCCTCACTGAACAGCCTTCCAGAGTTTGGGAATGCATCTTGAAAGGAATTTAGAGAGTGAACAGTGGCTTTTCCGTCTTGAGGCAGAGCAGAGCCACGAGTGCTGCTGGGCTCTCGTGTGTGTCACAGGATCAATGTCCTCGATGACTGCAAATCCCCAGGGATGGAGCCACAACTTTTCCCACCTCCTGGGGGATGGGCATATCCCTGCTTTTCCATCAGTCCCTGGCTGGCTCAGCACAGCTGCTGTCCCTGAGTTTGGCAGCTGGTGCTGGGCACGTTGAGCTCTCTGGGAAAATGTGTCAGATACAGAGCCAGCCAGAATCGCTCCAGACAGGGAGCAGTTCCACACGGGAAATGCTCCGGGGCCAGCCACTGCCATCCCTGCACAATGTTCYGTGGCTGAGCAGTGGGCAGTGCAGCCAGGAAAATGTCACCTTCCCTCCTGTCCCTGCCCACAGTCCAAGGAGTTGGGGCAGGGGGACTGGAGAAAGTCAGGGATGCTCCTCATCCTGTCCCCTGTGATGGCAGTCACACTCTCCGATAAAATCCTGTTTGTGGGTGGATTTTAAACATCCAGTTTATTGGATTTTCTGTTAAAACTCAATTCCCTGGAGTSAGGGRWCTGCTTTGCCTCCTCATGTGCTGCMTSTGTGGGATCTGGATCTTCCTCTGRATCCCAGGCTGTACTGTTGCCAGGGGATCTTATSAAATAGGCAGAAATAATTTGCTATCCATACTTTCCAACACCCATATCACCTTAATGAACTTGGAGGAGCAAAGAGGGGCTGCAGGTGAGCAGAAGGTCAGTTGTGACTCTCTCCATTCCACATCCAGCTGGATTCCATAACCTCATCCCAGGGAGTGGATTCAGGGCAGGTGGAGCATTTGCTCCTCATTGAATGGAATAAGAAGCAGCTGCTGAAGGTCTGAGTAAGCAGAGAAGAAGGAGCCCCAATGTGTTGGGAGAAGCAGCTTCTGCTTATGCTACGATAAAATCAGAATCATTAAACTTGGAAGAAAAATCTTCCAAGATCATTAAGCTTTTCCTGGTCAGAGGGGGAGATGGTTGTGGAAAAAGAGGAAGGAATGAAGTGGCTCTTTTGTGCTGCACACAGGGAGGAAAGTCATGAGGTTTAAACTTTATTGAGAACTTTCAGTATTGGATACCAGAATATCTGTTTTTCTGGCTGTAGCATTGTTACTGTCTGGAGATGACAGGGCTGTTTTAAAACCTGTATTATTGACGGGATTTAAGGAGCAGTGAGAGAAGAACTTGCTGGAGAAAGTCAGGGTTTGTTTGATTGTGCTTTGTTGGGGAGAACAATCATTCCTTGAAGAGCTGGAGCTGCATTTGCTGTGATTTCTTCTGCCCTAAATACCTCCCAGCTCAAGGGCTGCGTGTTTGCTCTTCTGGAGTTTCAGGCTTTTTCATGCAGTTGTAGAAAAGGAAACACAACTTTCCTGCCTCTCGCTGTGGTGATCAAAGATTCCCTGGGAGTTTTGTGCTCCYGTTTGCCTCCCTCCCCTGTGTTTTCCCACTTTCAGCAATTTGYAGCTCGGCTGTTTTGCTCTAAGCTCTCCCTGGAGAGCTGAGGCTCCATTTGCCTTTCAGGGCAAATATCCACCTGGAAACAATCTGGGAAAACACTCATTCTTGTACACAACTCCATCCATAATCCAGGCAGCTCTTGGAATCAAGACTCTGGTTTATGACTCCATTTAACRCCATCCTGTGGAGAGCAGAGGTGGGTTTTTATTGGCCTGGAGAATCAAGGTCAATAAAACATTGCTCTTTTCTTATCAAAGACACTCTAATATTTGACTGATATGCCACTTCTGGCTGCTCAGGGGGATTCTGGCCTGCCATAAACCCCCCCTAAATGTGGGATATTAATGGTGTAATTCCATGGTGTGCTGCAGTTGGAGTTTGTTCTGTCAAGAAACTGCTTTTCTTGTTACATTGCAGAGTTAAATGTTTCAGGCCGTTCTCCTGGTAAAAATTGGAATTTAAGAACTCAGGGTCTATTTCCCTGTCTTTTTATGGATTTGATCTGTTATAGATGTGTTTCACTACCCTCCCTTACGATTGCCCAGGTGTAATTATCCATTCAAAATATCCTCTGATGGATTTTCCCCCAGTTTGGCAGTGTGATGGTGCAACCACACTAAAATCTGTCCACTTATCTGGGGTTGCTATCTTCTCTCCTAAGTTTATTCCTCATTTGGGAATGCTGRAATTGCTATAATGAGCTTTCATTTGATGCTTAGGCCCGGCCATCACAGAAGTGCTTTCCAGCTCATGGTTTGCTCCCATTAAAATGAGGCCCCACATGCTCCTAGTAATAAAAGTGCTCCTCCTAAAGAGAAAAAGCTGTTGTTGAGAGCATAAAAGGTGATATTTTTCTCCATTTATCTGGCCAGCTTTGTCTTGTTATCATTAAAYAGATTCAGCTGGAGCTACTTGGTTTTGATTGAGAAAAGGGTAAATGGTCAGAGAATAATTTAGCTTGGAGGATGGAGTCGAGCTCTTCCCTCAGCACTGCCAAGGGCAGCACTCCCCCATGTCCCCAGGTTCCATGGCTGTTGAATCCCTCCAAGAATGCTGCCTCTCCCTGCACAGCTCCTGCCAAGGCCTGAGCACCCTTTCCATGCAGAAATTCCTGCTGATGTCCACCCTGAGCCTCCCCTGGCCCAGCCTGAGGCCGTTTCCCCTTGTCCTGTCCCTGTTCCCTGGAGCAGAGCCCGACCCCCCCGGCTGTCCCCTCCTGTCAGGGAGTTGTGCAGAGCCACAAGGTCCCCCTGGAGCCTCCTTTGCTCCTTAAATCCCATCCCATCCTATCCCACCCTCTGCCCTGGGCAGGGACACTTCCACCATCCCAGAGCACTCCAAGCCCGTGCAGCCTGGCCTTGGGTCACTTCCAGGGCAATGACATATTTTGGGTGACATTTATGTTGTGTCCGCGTGTTTCCTTTGGCACCGCCTGGAATATTGATGGGTGTCAGGTTTTTAAGGAAAGCAGAGGATGAGCATCCAGAGTATTGCACATCACAGCCTGTTTGAGAATGSGAGGGACATCTGGAGGTCCCCTGGTGCAGCCCCCAGGTCAGGCTGCCCTGGGCCATGTCCTGATGGCTCCTGGGTCTCTCCAAGGAGGACAATTCCACAATGCCCCTGGCTGGGCTCTGAGGCTGTGGAAATACAATTTTAAGGCCAGGGTTCTCCCTGGAGGTTTGGGGACCCAAATCCGTGTCCTTTCTCCCATCCCAGACTGAATCAGGTCTCCGTCCTGTGGGCTCTCTATGGCCCTCTCATCCCAGCCTGGCCCAGGCGGCCTTTGCTGAGGGAAATGCTGCCAAGCAAGGGATGATCTCGCCTTTTTGGCCAAAGACAAGCCACAGATTTGGCTGTAAAGTTGCCAGGTTTTCAGTAATTCCCTGCGGGGCTGCGTGGTGGCTCAGGGCTGCCCAGCTCCATGTTCTGCCCTTGCTCCATCCAGCTGTGGTTCCATTCTTTGATCTGGGACTGCTTGGGGYTGACTTTCCTTGCCCTTTTTGGTGTTGGATTTTATTTCTGGGGGGCCAGAGCAGACCAGGAAGGAATGTGAYTGAGCAGGTTTGTGGCACAGAGGAGTTCAGGTGCATCCTGAACGGATCCTTTGCGGATCACCAGCTTCAGGGGTGGCTCTCCAGGGCTTTATTCCAGTATTCTCCCACATCACCAAATCCATTCTGGCTGCCAGAAAAGGAGCAGATTTCCATTGTATCTTTTTTTTTTTTTTTTTTTTTTTTTTTTTTTTCTCCTGTTCAGCCCCAGGGCATGAAGGAAAAATCTCTCAGGAAGACAGAGGGGGGAAAAGCAGCTAGATTTGTGTCCATGATAAAGGGATCTGCTAATGGAGGTTTCTTTTGTATTGCAGYGTTCCCACATTCCAGAGCCTTCCCGAGGAGATCCTTAGTAAGCTTGCAGATGTCCTGGAAGAGGTAAGTGCCTTGAAAATTGGGATTTTATGAATTCAGAACCTTCTGCTGGCAATATCAGGCCTCTCCTTTTCCCCAAGGAGCAGCTCCCAGTTGTGGCAGCACAGCAAGGCCATGAGGAGCTGTGGGGAAAATTAATCCAGTTTTGAACAGGGTTTGTATATATTTTAATTGGATTTTTGTATCCAACTGGGGAGCAAAACCATGATTTCCTGTACTGTCCAGAAGGGAATGACCTTCTCCAGCCCCTGGATCAGTGATGGGGATGAGGGGATTGTGAGAACATGGTCTCATTTCAGATTTGATGGGAATCCCAGGCTGGAGGGTGCTTCAAAGGTGTCGTGGAAAAGGTGCTCTGGGAAGAGTTCCAGCAGTGTTGAGATGCTGGGATGGAGTTGGGCTTTGCCTACCTGGCTTTAACCGGGTTCTTGTTAGGGTCAGGATTTTAATCAGTGTTTATTTAAAATCACCCACAAAACACCAAACAAAAAAAAAAAACCAAAAAAAAACCCCAAACTGCTGGGAAAGCCCCCCCAGAACCACAACCACCTCCCCCCAAAACCCGAAACACCACAAAACCCCCCTAAAAAAAACACAAAACAAAAGCCTCCAACCTGCACCCTACCCAAAAAAAACCAATGCCCCCACCTTGCCCCATAAGTGGATGGAAAATACTTGGTTTGCATCACAGTTCCCCCCATATTTCACTCCCACAATGCTCCCTTCTGCGCCTGAGGAATTCCAAGTGGTTCAATATCCCAGAAAGCTGTTAATAAACCCTTCCAAAAGGTGATTTAAGTGCAGGAAATGTATGTGGCAGTAATATTTTCATTCTTGCTTAGTTCTCCTCATCCTCACCTCTCTATCAGGGAAGACGTTCCTGTGGATTTGGAGGGAAGAYGCTGCTGACACTGCATTGATTTGAATTCCTTTTTTCCAAGCTTTGCTKGGGCATTGTTCCTTCTCTGCCTTTTTATTTAGTGCCCAGATAAATCCTGTGGCTCCAACAAATCAGCTGTTTGTCACCCTGAATAACTGCATATTCACAGATAAGCTTTATTCCCTTTACTGCCAGGGAATGCTCTGATTTAGGGGGATAAAAAGGGAAATGAACTCCCTCTGCAGTGAATTCCATTTGCCTATCTCAAAACCCCACTCCCAAACAGAATTTGCTTGGATCACATCACCAGCATTAAGCTCCTTATCAAGAGTTGAGGAGGAGAATAAAGGCCCTAAAACTTTTCCAGGGATGCTTAAAGTTTCATGGAAGGGGGAAGAAAAGACTTAATAAATAGCAGAGAAGAAATGAGGCACAAAAGCAGCATTTGTGGGGAATAAATCTGGATTTTTAGGGTGGATGCTCCCAGTTTCCTGATTGGAACCCGCCTTATTTCCTCTGGGTTTGTCTTGGATTGAATGGGCTGTGTTTTACAGAAATTAAAAACAAAAAAAATCACTCTCTGGTCTGTGTATTTAGATATGAACTCCCACCTGGCTACAGCCCCCTTTCCATAAGTTTCACCTCTGAAGTGTTGGAAAAACCCCTCTGGGGCATGGAGTTGTTAATATTGCATGGAAAAATGTGTCTGGTGGCTCACCCAGGGTTTATCTGGGTGGCACCAACATTGCAAATAAATTCAGAGTTTCTGGATAATTCCATYTGCTAAATGGAATTAAATCCTGAAGGGAATAGGATGGGGAGTCTGTTCCTGGCATGGCAGAGGARTGGGATGAGCTTTTGGTGGGCATGGGCGGCATGCAGAGATCTGGGCTGGCATCTCCCCTTCTCCCTCTTTTTCTCTCCTTCTTTTCTGGTTTTTGGGGGGTTTTTTTGTTGTTTTTTTTGTTTTTTTGTGGCACAAAATTAGGATTTCTTCACTGTCCTTAAGTTGTTTCACATCCTGACAGTGTTTTTCCTCTTTAGGGTTATTTCCTGCGCCATTCAAATGTAGAACTTTTATCCTTGTAGGATTTCCATCCCAGATTAGGGGTTCAGGTATCAATAGGTGTCATTAAGGTTGCTTGACCTCTTCTCTTCTGAAGCTGCTTTCAGGTGTTCAGTATCTTGCAAACCTTTCCATTTGACCTGAAATTCTTCATTGTGCCWACAGCTGTTTCTTCTAAATTTTGCTCCCCAGCTCCAAACTCCTAATCCTGTTTCAAGGAAGGATCCATTAGCCTGGGTGTCAGGGATGGAGCTGTTACCTGCCCAAACATCTGTCCCAGCTCCACTGAATTGCGTAGGATTTTCAGGGAAGGGGAAGGAAGCAGGAATTCAGAGGGCCTGGGGCAGTTGCAGGAACCAATCCCAGACTGGTTTGGGTTTAGAGGGGACATTAGRGATCATYCCATCCCACYCCTGCCATGKCAGGGACACCTCCCACTGTCCCAGGCTGCTCCCAGCCCCAATGTCCAGCCTGGCCTTGGGCACTGCCAGGGATCCAGGGGCAGCCACAGCTTCTCTGGGCACCCTGTGCCAGGGCCTGCCCACCCTCCCAGGGAACAATTCCCAATTCCCAATATCCCATCTGGCCCTGCCCTCTGGCAGTGTGACCCCATTCCCTGTGTCCTGTCCCTCCATCCCTTGTCCCCAGTCCCTCTCCAGCTCTCCTGGAGCCCCTTTAGGTCCTGCAAGGGGATCTGAGCTCTCCCTGGATCCTTCTCCTCTCCAGGTGAGCACCCCCAGCTCTCCCAGCCTGGCTCCAGAGCAGAGGGGCTCCAGCTCTGGAGCATCCCCATGGCTCCTCTGGGCTCTCCAGCAGCTCCAGGTCCTGTTGCTGTTGGTGCCCCAGACAGAATCATCAGAGATTTAGAAGTTCTGTAGTTACAGATGCACGGCAGAAGGTTGAATTCAGGTCTCRCTGACATTTTCATCTCCTGCATTTCCTAATCCTGTGCTCTCGCTGTTCCTTCGCTGTCTGGAATTTAGCCTGGTAATCCACCRAAGACATTGTGGGTGGGAATTGGAGCAGCTGGAGTGAGAGCAAGCAACAAAGGCACTTGGATTTGCTTCCCAAACCACTGCAGATCAGCTTTTTGGGCTGATTGTGTCAGGTCTCAACTTTGTCAGCTGCATTTGTTGTGTTTAATGTGTTGTGTTCAGAACTCAAGACAGCACCGCCATTTATGTGTATGTATTTATATATAAATACATTTTTATATTGTTTTTATGTTTATATGTTATATGTATTTATAATTTTATATATTATTTATATATTAATATATTATCGTTGGATTTATAGGAATTTCAAGTGTTCCAGGCTAGGTTGGCCAAGGCTTGGAGCACCCTGGCATGGTGGAAGGTGTCCTTGCTCATGGCACAGGGATGGACTTTAAARTCCTTTTCAACCCCAACCATTCCATGATTCTCTGATAATTCTTTATAACACATTGAAATATATTGTATTTATTATATTTGCAATATAAATAGATAYTTAAATAGAACAGAAATATGGTTAATTGCCCTAAATCCTGCTGGAAACCATTTCAGTAACTAGTCCTGGATTACCTGGAAAGCAGTTAGAGCCTGGGAGTGCTGTGAATGCCATTCCCACATCTCCCCATGTGCATTTTGGGAATTATTTCACTGGAAGCATGAATATTCCGAATTTGTATGGAATTGAATGCACTGMTGAGGTCTGAGTGCCAGCCCTAGGCAGTCTGGCCATGGCTCCCAGTGAATGCCTGGACCAGCAGCAGAGGCAGAAATGTGTTCAACCCCACAGGCAGAGGGTGCCAGGGATGGGAATGGGGCTCCTGCAGCTCTGAAATCTGGGATCACAGCTCCTGGCTGCACCCACTTCAGCAGCTCCATTTGTGTCTTGAGTGCTGCTTGCCAGTCTTTGTTTCTTTTTTCTTCCCTTTTTTTAAAACTCCCAATTAAAGAATGAATTTCATAAGACACAAATGGTAAAAAAAAAAAAAAAAAATCTTCCCTGTTGCTCATGGAGCTTCTTCTGTTGTGGCTCCTGCTGGAGAGGGGGATCTTAGAGGAAATTTCTTGGCTTGATTCAGCTTTCAAAGCTGTCCTGRGCCTTCCTGCAGAGATGCCAAGCATCCCTCCTGCTCCACACTGTCCAATTAATATGGATCACAAGTGCTTGGGATGCCTCTGTTTAATTAACAGAACACTGGCCTGCTTTTATGTGGAATCATGTGGCAACAGTGAATAGAACAGGGGAAATGTGCAAAATTAATTAGCTTTCCATAGGATTAGTAATTTTTTTGGCTTATTTAGGGGTGAGGATTGCTCTTGGATAAAGAGAATCAGATGCCTGATCCACCCTGCAGGTTCTGCCAGCACCAAAGGTGATATTGATCTGATACAGAGCCATAAATCAGATTTGAGAGAGAATGTAAAATGAACAGGGAAGAGTAAAAGATTTTGGTGGAGAAAAAATAYTTTAATGTTTTTTTTTTATCTCCCCCCACCCCCAAGGAAGCACTCTGGGGTGCATTTACTAAAGGAATTGTGGGACAGAGTAGGGGGATGCTGTCTGTGGGGGCATTAGAACAGCTTCAGTCACTACTTGCTCCATCACAGTGGGACTGAATTTTGACTAGACTAAATTTTGACYGGAGTTGTACTTCCATTAATTTTTCAAATGATGCTCATGGAAACACAGCAGCTTTGGGTTTGCAGGTGCACCAGGAGAAAAAAGCTTTTCATGGAAAAAAAGCATTAGGAAATCAAATGCAGCTGGGAAAAGCAGAGTGCAGGAATACAGTGAGGGACTCGGTGGCACAAGCTGCTCTTGCACCTGGATTGGGATAAAAGGTGGTCTTTGGAGCTGTTTCCCTTTTGTTTGTTTTWTTTTATTGTGGGCACTGACCCCTTGAAGGGAATAAGAATAAGCTCCTGCTTGTGTCACCATAGGAAAGGAGTTCAGTATTCCCTGRTTCCTGCAGACATGTGGCCATCCCTGGGTGTGTTTATTGCCCATCCTCTGTTCTCCTGCAGTGGGACAAATGGGGCAGGATTGGGGTTTTTCTTCCAYACAATT